ATTGCTAGGTTTTCCTTTTCTAATGTCTTGGGATAATTTCAATGCACTTTTGTGTTGTTTGATAGATTCAATAAGCTAACATTTTATTTAGAGTTTGGTATCTGCATTTATAAATGAGTTCATAATTAGGGTCATGCTGGGCTGGCCTGTCGCTCACTGAGGAGAGTGCGGTGCTGATAACACCAAGGCCACAGGTTCGGATCCCATATAGGGATGGCCGGTTCGCTCACTGGGAGAGCGTGGTGCTGACAACACCAAGCCAAGGGTTAAGATCCCCTGACTGGTCATCTACTAAAATAAATAAATAAATAATAAATAAATAAATTAAATAATTAGGGTCGTGCTGCCCTCACTGATTAGGTTGGGAAGCTTCTCATGATTTTCTGTGCTCTGGAACAGAAGAATCATCTGTTCCTTGAAGTTTGGCAGAACATGACTGCAGACTGCTTGGGTGGCTGGTGGCGTTTTTTTTAGGAAGTTGCTATCAGTATTTAACTACCCTTTCATTCTTCCCATGATCATTGATTTTTCTCAAGGTTGTCTATTTCTTCAAAGTCAATTTAATATTTTCTAGTCTTCTAGAAAATTATTAGCACTATTGAAAATGAGTGTATGTTAACATAACGTTGAATATAATATTCTGTTGTAAGAAAACAAATTCACATGTCTGTGATATGTTCTTTTTCTTGTTAATACTAATTTTTTTTTGCCTTTTCTTTTTAAGTGGTCAGACTTGCTTAATGATTGCTTATTTTATTAATCCTTTCAAAGAACCAGCTTTTGGATTTACTTATTAATCCTATCGATTTTTATTTTTTTATGTCACTAATTTCTGTTCTTTATCTTTCTACTTAATTTGAGTTTATTTTGTTCAAGTTCTGGCCTTGAATTGAGAACTTGGCTTATTTATTTAATCAATCTGTCCTCCTCTTATTCTTCTATTCTGGTCACCTGCCGTTTGGCTTTAGCTGTATTTTTAATTTAACCCTTTAAATTAGACATTATTGCTGCTGTTATTATAGTTATTATTTTCTAGGTCAGTACTTATTGGATTTATCTACCTGTTTACCATTTTCTTCACTTTCCGTTTATTCTTGTATCGCAGATAACTCTTCTTTGAACGATTTTCCTTCTCCTCTAAGTACCTTCTTCAGAAGTTCCTTCAGTGAAGATAATCTGTTTTTATAATATCTGAAAGTGCCTTTGTTTTGCCCACATTCTTGAATTTTGGCTTCACCATGTTTCTCCCATTGGTTACAAAAGTTATTTGTATATTTTTTCTAGCATTTTAAAAAGATGTTTTGTAGCTGGAAGGTTTTGGGATCTCTATTCTGCCATGTTGCTGAAGGAAAAATAAGATTAAAACCAAATTAATTTGTAGTTTAATGGACTGTTAGTTTTGTGACTGTTCCCTGTATCCTTAGTATATTGGGTGCATAGTTCTCTAATTCTTTCAAGTTCAGTGATTATAATTCATGTTGTCCGTATCCCTGATTTTTTCCTCTCTGTGACCTGTTGATTCTG